TATATACATATGTATACAGATATATATATATATATATATATATATATATATATATATATACTTCGTGTGTGTGTGTGTGTGTGTGTGTGTGTGTGTGTTGTGTGTGTGTGTGTGTGTGTGTGTGTGTGTGTGTGTGTGTGTGTGTGTGTGTGTGTGTGTGTGTGTGTGTGTGTGTGTGTGTATATATATATGTATATATATATATATATATATATATATATATATATATATATATATATATATATATATATAATATACTTCGCAAATAACACCAGCCAGCCTTTGGCCTCATGCCCTGGACCCAACCATACCACCCTTCCAGTAACTGTTCTAAGCCGTATCACCTAAATGTGCAGTCACTCTTACGCAAAAAGAAAAAGTTCTGTGTTGTGTATTTTCTTCCTCTTCTTCCTGCGATTATTTCGTTTTCCGTTGTCTACACAATGGCGTTATAGGGAAGGACGCGGTAGGAGACAAGAGCCTTGCCACTCATAAAATATCGTTCAAGCATTTATCATTGTTCATTAACTTATCATTTCTTACGTTTTTTTTTTTTTTTTTTTTATTGTTTCAGTGTAACGAACTCAATACGTTCGTGATTTTCTCACTCTGAGAATTAACTCCTTGTGATTTCTTAGAGTCCTTTCACGAAATTCATTTCCGCCACAGACCATGGGGAAATCCACGAGACAAACTCGTCTTTTCCGTAGTGTGTGTTTTGTTGTTGTTGTTCACTACAGTGCTCTCGGGTGACACGTACCATTGGCGCTTTGGTGGAGGTTGTAACATAATTTCCATATCAATTAATTAATAAGTTTTATGTAGCGTAAGCATCTCCGCCTTATCATAGTGCACAGAGATGCCAGATATAACCCAGGGTGGCGTAAACCGCCTATTAGAGCTACGGTTTGGTCGGAGACGATGGTAGGTAGAATAAGTCAATCATTCCGATCGACACCGCTTGTTCGAGTCGGTGTGAGCCTGTTCATAAGTGGGACTCGAGTTTTAGACTAGGATCATTATTTGCTTATTAATAAAACCTTTCTCATGGAAGTCGCGTGCATGTTCTTGGTAAAATCCAAGCCTATCATAGATTTGCTGAGTAGAGCGGGTTATTTGTGGATTGTTTTCCGTCCCGTTATTCAGTTCGGTAATATGGGTATAGGGAATTATGTGCATGAAGTCTTGCGAAGTCTTACATGCATTAGCTAGATGTAAACCAGAATTTTGTGGCGATATAGAACTGTGGATTGTGAGGTACATGTTGAGGTCATTGCGGTGGTTGAGATAATTGTATATTAATGTCATTTGCTAACTATCACATTAATATGAACATCAATATTCATGTTTGTGAATCATTCTTCGTTAGCTCACTCTCGCATGCTCACTCTCACACACAGTAATTAGCGGTTATAACGTCTAAGTTGCTGCAAACATTATCTGTTTCGCCTGAGTTATAAACCATACTTATTTTTGCTTCTTGCTGCATTCTTCACTGCTTATCTGAGACGGTGAGCAATTCAAGAAGATCCACGCGGATTGCTGCTACCACCCCCCTGGTCTATTGCCATACAACCCCCCCCCCACACACACACAAAAAAAAAAAATCAAAGAAAGTGAGAAAGAATTTGTTAGTGCAGTCATCAGCCGCCTCAGGATGCACTAGAAAGTATCAATCGCTTTAGGAAGCTGTGGAAGGGCGCCGCTTACCTGGACATCCGTACATCCAGTCAAAACCCAAGAGTCCACCCGCCCTCGGATGCCGTAGAAGGGCGCCGCCTGCCTGGACACCCGTAGATCCAGACGAAGACTACAAGTACATGTGGTTGAGTTAGCTACCGAGCTAGATCCGGACGAGTACTACGAGGACGTCTGGGCGAATATGACGTCGAGGAATTCTTTGGCGAGGACTAGGAACATGTGGAAACGTTGAGGACGTATGGATGTCACCAAGGACCAGGAAGAAAAGATCAAGGAGGAGCAAAGATGAGGATGAATCGAGGACAGCGCGCACATGACCAGATGACGCCGTATTACATCTACCTAAGGACCAGCACATGAAAGAAATGGGCAACCAAACAGGGACAGACAGAGATGGTCACCCTTGAGAACGAAACAGTGGCGCCTCGAAGGTGAATAGTGCGTAGGTGGCCGAGCGATATCGCGGGCATACAGCCTACGAATTCCTATATCCAAAATGCTCCTACCCTCGGGAGATACCCCGAGTTGTGTCTGCTCTAGGGCTGTTCCGATGCCAGCGCTGTCATGAGGAAAAACCGTGAGCTCATCCCTTGACCTGGGCAGACCCAGTAGAACGTTGCTACTTCTGAATACGATCAGCCAGCCCTTGGCCCCTGGCCTGGGCGGCCCTCCCCAGCTACAGTGCCTTCTGTTATTTATTGCCGTTGTTGTCCTCTTTGTAGCAATACAGAGTCAAGCGGTTAATCAATCACAGCTAACCAGACTAGCACTGAGTCTCCTACACAAATAGAGGTTCTTA